TATTTTATACATTATAATTTTTATTATTTAAGACCATAATTCATAATACTTAAATTTTATTTTTTAAAATATCTTATCTAGTCAAATTATAATAATTCTATGTAAAAAAAATAAATTACTCGTATGGTTGAAATGTATATTTCGGTGAATTGCATATTATGTCCCCAATATATTCGAAATGAACAATTTAGAAAAATCAGTGGACGAGGAGACAACAAAAGGCGAGAAAAAAGATTTATCAAGTGCAGTGCTGGAGACGGAACCGTCAGATTCAGGAATGGCTGCTGCTTCCGCCACGGATGGTGTCGCTGCGACGGCACTACGGTCGGTAATTCAGCGAATTGAACACGCGGCTGAACGATGTGGCCGCAGATCGGACCAAGTAAGGCTGGTGGCTGTAAGCAAAACTAAGCCAGTATCTCTCGTCAAACAAGTTTACGATGCCGGTCACCGTTGCTTCGGTGAAAATTACGTCAAAGAGCTCATCGAGAAAGCTCCTCAGGTAAAGGTTCTATACTCGTGTTTGTGATTGCCGCTACATAATTTAAGCATAGAAAACATATGATTGATTGGTTTGCTGATCGAATTGTTTTGTTTTATTTGACTCTAGGACTCACTTTATTAAGGTTAAGTTCAGTCCAATACTAATACTGTAGGCAAATTTTTGGGCTTCTGTAATCTAATCCTATCTTGTAGTTTAATTTCAATTAACTGGTATCTAGTATAGGAATGTTCTACTTCCATTGTGTTTTGTTTTTAGCTAAGTATGGATTTAAATTAAGAGATTTTAGATCTTTTAAACAAATGCCCTTCATGTGTTTTTTATGTTTTTGTTATTTGGGATACGCTATATTTATAGGAAAATGAAGCTTTTCACCAGTAGCTTAATTGATTTTCTTTCTGAATATTGCCAAGAGTGAGATTGTTTGCTTTTAGAATTATTGTTATAGCCCAACCTGCTTATGCACAGTATTGCCGCTTTGTCCAATGGACCTTACTGATTTGTCCCTCGAGTAAGTCGCAAAGATGCCTGAAGTGTGCTACCAAGTTACCTTATACTTTGTCATATATAGCGCAGGACTTTCCTGTCCTTTCCACGGTGTGAATCACCTGATGTGTCTTCTACTTCAGAAGTTCACTAGCTTCAAAGTCTGCCAATTCTTGACCTTTCACGGACATCATAATTACATTCAATTGGTGTCTTGCACTAGTTCATTCTTCTAGGAATTGGCCATGTTATGTATCTATTTATTGATTATTTTCTTTGTTTTGTGCTAGTTAGTGTGTGTGTGAGAGAGAGAGAGTAGTTTCTTCATGGTAAGTTTTATTTTTTATGTGGGCCGTTGTAATTTTCTGTGGGGAACAATGTGACGTATTGTGTTTCAGATGAGGTGTTTATACTGCTATTGTTTGGTGAATTGCAGCTTCCAGATGATATAGAGTGGCATTTCATAGGGAATTTGCAGAGCAATAAAGTGAAGCCACTTTTAAGTATGTTCTCCTTCCTTCCTTCACGGTTCCTTCTCCCATCCTTTTCCTTATGGACCAGTAAGGGGAAATGTACATTTCTATGAAAATAGTTTCAGGATGAAGCAAAATCATAAAAATCGTGATTACAGGATAATTTTGTTGGAGAAACAAGGGGAGAATACCTTTTTTCTGGCGTCCTGGTGAAGCCCGTGGAGGGAAGGGTTGTTTCAAGAGTTGTAAACTTTATCTTGGTGAAATAACATACTTGCTTCATCAAATTTTGATTATATTAAATACCACAAATATTTTTTAAAATGCCAGATGTGGTGAAACAGATTGCCTTCACTTACATCAGTCAGACGATGGACAATAAGTTTCTATCTCCTTTCTGCGTTAGCATGCATGACATAACTGTAATGAAGAGTTTGAGCCACGCTTTTGTGCAACTGATATAAATGTATAGAGCTTATAATAATTTTTCCTCATCTTTGTTTTTCAGCTGGAGTGCCAAATCTTGCTATGGTGGAGACTGTAGATGATGAAAAGGTAACCAACACCGACTCTGCTACTAGTTTGTCTCGTAGTCCAGTAAATATCTTTAGAACATATTCTGGTTGTTGACTTTTTAATACAACATATTTTAACTATACAAAATACATATGCCCAAATTATGATTACACTCTTAACTTTTGTTTTGATTTCAAAAATCATTGTATCCATCTCGAATTTCTTGATCGATTTTGGTCAAAGTATCTAAAATCGTTTGACCATATCTGGTACAGATCTCACACCTACATCCACATCGTGTCAACACAGGTGCGGCACCGAAAGTGAAGAGTGCAAGAAGGAAATAAATCAAATTTAGTTAGAAAAAGAAAAAAATGGGTTATTAAGTGAATTTAATAAGAAGCCTTTGTATTTTATGCACATATTTAATTTATTCGGAGCTATTGGAGTGGGATCGACATTTGGGGGAATATGAGTTGAAGCACTAACAACTAACAAGAATATTTATAGTAGAATATCCAATATTGTGAGTATAGACCTCCTTTTACAGACATAGTTTATAGAGTATCTGTTTTCTTTTTGAGAATGGTTACTGTGTATTCATCAGCATTAAGGAAATTTCGGACACCATATTTACAGTTCAAAGAATTAGCAAAAACCCTGTCCATCTTGCAAAGATTCTTATATTTTGTTTAATACATTCTGTAGATTGCAAATCAGCTTGACCGTGTGGCTGGGAACATTGGAAGAAAGCCATTGAAAGTTTTTATCCAAGTTAATACAAGTGGGGAAGAAAGTGGGTAACTGGAGTATGTCTCTGATTTATTAAGAGTCATTTGGTCTATTTTTGTGAACGTTGCCATATTCATGAAGGAAAAAATAACCATGATTTGATTCCATTATTGCAGCTAAATCTGGTGTTGAACCAGATGGGTGTCTGGAACTCGTGAAACATGTTACTTCAAACTGCCCTAATCTTGAATTCTGTGGCCTGATGACTATTGGAATGCCAGATTATACGTCGACTCCTGAGAACTTTAAGGTTGTGGTTTTATCTTTGCTGTTTCTTCTTGGCCTGGTTGCTATTGTTATATCCTCAACTCAAGTATCCTGCTATTTGTCATGCTTGGTTTCAGACTTTAGCAAGATGTAGAAGTGAGGTTTGCGAGGCACTTGGAATATCTGAAGATCAATGTGATCTGTCAATGGGAATGTCAGGCGACTTTGAACTTGCTGTGAGTGACCTGACTTGTCACTAAGCACATTAAACCATTAGTAAGCTTGGAAGGAACTTGAATAACATGAGTTCTCTCGGGAGTATGTGGTAGTCTGACTGCACCACGTATACAATCACTTTTTATAAATTAAACCAAGTATTATTAACTAGACATCTGACTCAGTTTTCATTACTGGTCTCTGTTATTAGAATGGTCTTGAGTCTGATTCATAATGCCTAATTGCTGGGCAATAAACTCGCCCAGCTCCCGGCCACATCCTTGGGATTACGACACTTATGCAGACTAGGATTGTAGTTTCGCCCCTTAACAGTTTGTTACAATTCAAGGGTTAATCTGTTTTTATCTTTTGATAAGGTAAAGTCATGTGACCGGGTTTGAACCTTGGAATCAACTAGTGATACTTATGTTAGGGTAGGCTGTCTATATCATACCTCCTGGGGGTGTGGATCTTCCCTGGACCCTGTGTATTCGCCAGCTGCTTTGTGCATGCGGCTGCCCTTTATATTTGCGCTATTTTCTATCAGTTTCCCATGCATACTTGTTTTCTGTGGCAGATATTATGTATCTGTAGAGTTGATGGTTGTTAAAAGTAGAATTCATTTGAATGTTACCAGTTTCAAAAAAAAAAAAAAAAAAAAAGTAGAATTCGTTTGACGCTCTCAAAAGAGAAAAGAAAAATTGAGTATCACAAAAGTAGAATTTTATTTGATTAGTTGTTGATTCTTTTGTGTTTGAATATGTTAGAAGTTCATCATGATAATTGCTTAGGGAGATCTTATCAGTGATATACCGTTCCAACCTCCATCCTACCTCCAATCTGATGACTCGTACTGTAGTCACCAATCAACCTATGCTTGTAGCCTATGACCCCCTTAATTATGTAAGATATTTTCTTTTAATGAGCAGTCTAGGCTATTGTATCAGGTAAGCATATTTATCCTCGTGTCCTGCTATATTGAATAAACGAAACCAGCATGCACTCATGCTAACTAGCCAGCATTGGTATTACATTCTACATATGCTCCGTTTGACCTCATGTTCTGCTATGTTTGAGCGCAACATACTTATAATGCTGTCTATTGCTACAGGTTGAGATGGGCAGTACAAATGTTCGAGTTGGATCTACTATATTTGGTGCAAGGGAATATCCAACAAAGCAGTCGAACTAGGTTGATGAACCCATTTTAGTGAGAGAGCATGAGCCAAACTTTTTCCCATTCATGATATGCGCAGCTTCTTGTTTGTACAATGCGACTATGGTCCTCATTGACTATGTCTCCTATAGCATCCGTTTGTATTCTATTTATTATTACTGTTGAGCATAGTCTTGAGCTGCAATAGAAATGTTCTGAATAATGTCATGAGATTTGATATACTCTCGTCTAGATGTACTAATTGATGATATATCTGTAGAATACTTTTCTCATGGCGTGGTCGGCTGGTCCTTTCATCTTCTTGTTGAAAAAACGACTAAACTATGTAGGGCAGCTAACAGTCATAACTTGTGCAAATTTGACGTGATAGTACAGGAGAAAACAAGGATAATTTTAGTTATGTATATAAAATTATTATTTTTTCTATCAAGTTCACTGAACGTAATCGTAAAGTCATATTTTATCTCTAATGGCGCTTCATGTATTATTTAGTCATAAATTATTGCTCATTGTAACTTCTAAGAAAGGGATTAGTACCAATATGAAAATTGGCGCCTTGTGGTATACCTTCCATAAGGTTTTAACAAAAAGTTCAGCCCAGAAAAATCCTGGAAGAATGTGACCATGAATTATGCATAAGCTCAAACTCAACATCCTCTTCCACCCTTTAAAACAGCCGCCATTTCGCCACTCCGCCGCTGCTGCCGCCGCCACCAAGTCCTTCAACGCCACCCTCCACCGCCTTTCCTCAGAAGGTTTCCACCGTCATGCTTTACTCACATACAACTCCATGCTCAAGTCCTCTGTACCTCCTGACCCTTTCACTTTCCCCACTCTCCTCAAAGCCTGCATTTCTCTTAACCTTCTCCGGCACGGTCTTTTGCTACACCAACACGTGGTCGTTAATGGATTTTCTTCTGATTCTTATATTGGGTCATCCTTAATCAGTTTTTATTCCTCTTTTGGGATTACAGAGGATGCACAGAAAGTGTTTGATACAATGCCTGAGAGGAACATTGTCCCGTGGACGACTGTTATTGGGTGTTATGCACGAACTGGTGATTTTGAGCATGCCTTTTACCTGTACAATTCTATGTTACATGAAGGAATAAAACCGACTTCTGTTACCTTGTTGACTCTGCTTTCTGGAGGATCAGAGAGCATTCATGTGGAGTGTTTGCATACTTGTATAGTAAAATATGGTTTTATGGGTCACATTGCTTTGTTGAATTCTATGTTGAATGTGTACGGTAAATGTGGAAGAATTGAGTATGCTAGGAAGTTATTTGAGTGGATGGATGAAAAAGATATTGTTTCTTGGAATTCTTTGGTTTCAGGGTGTGCTTTAGTGGGGAACACAGAAGAATTATTGACGCTTATGTACAGGATGAGGTCAGAAAATTCATGGCCTGATCATCAAACATATGGGGCGTTGGTTTCCGCAATTGCAAAAGATGGTAGTGCTAAATTTGGAAAAGTGGTGCATGGACAGATAGTTGCTGCTGGATTTGAATTAGATGTGCATCTTCAGACATCACTTATGTTTATGTATTTAAAATGTAGGAACATGGATTATACATTTAAGATTTTTGAGCGAGCAAAAGATAAAGATGTAGTTTTGTGGACAACTATTATCTCAGGACTTGTTCAGAATGAACGTGCAGATAGAGCACTTGAAGTGTTTCAAAGCATGTTGTGTAGTAGAATTGAACCTTCTACAACTACCATAGCAAGTGCACTTGCAGCTTGTGCTCAATTAGGTTCATTGAAAGTAGGAACTTCTATACATGGCTATATGTTGAGGCAAAGAATGGCCATTGACACTCCTGCCCAAAATTCTCTTATCACTATGTATTCAAAATGTGGCTATTTGAAGCAAGCTCTTATTGTTTTTCATATGATAAAAAACAGAGATGTGGTCTCCTGGAATGCAATTGTTGCAGGGAATGCCCAGAATGGGCATTTATCGATGGCCTTGCATTTGTTTAATGAAATGAGGATAGCCCATCAAAGACCTGATTCAGTAACAGTGGTTTGCCTTCTTCAAATTTGTGCCTCAATTGGAGCATATCAGCAAGGGAAGTGGATCCACAATCTTGTTGTAAGGAGCTATCTTGAACCTTGTGTTAAGATAGGTACAGCTTTGGTTGATATGTACTGCAAATGTGGTGACTTAGACAGTGCGAAGAAGTGTTTTGACAGGGTCATAGAACGTGATCTCATTTTATGGAGCACAATTATTTCTGGATATGGCAGTCATGGCAAAGGGGAGACTGCCCTGGCATTGTATATGGAGCTTGTGCAAAGTGGTCTTACACCAAACAGTATTATTTTCTTATCTGTTCTTTATGCATGTAGTCATAATGGACTTGTGGACCATGGTTTGAACTTGTTTGATACTATGGCAAGGGATTTTAAGATTGAACCTGAACTCGAACATTGTGCATGTATAGTTGACCTACTTTGTCGAGCCGGTAGGGTGAAAGATGCATACAACTTCTATAAGATGAAATTTCCAGAACCAATGGCCAATGCTTTGGGTATAATTCTTGATGCTTGCAAAACAAAAACCCTGGAAGAACTTAGGGATGTCGTTGCCAAAGAAATCTCAGAGTTAGATCATGAGGACGCTGGAAGGTATGTGCAATTGGCTCATAGTTATGCTTCAATGGCCCAGTGGGAGGGCGTTGGTAAGACCTGGGTCCAGATGAGAGAACTTGGGCTCAAAAAGCTTCCTGGTTGGAGTTTTATTGACTTACATGGAGTAATAACAACTTTTTTTATGGGCCAAACCTCTCATCCTCAGCAGGAAGATATAATGTTGGTTCTGAAGAATTTAAGTGAGGAGATACGTGAGGGTAATCATGTCAAACACAGAGGATATATCATAAGCGCTTATGAACAACATCTTCCAGTAAATGCCAATTTGTTCAGTATGTCATTGTGGTACTAGATATTGAACAAGGAAATCTCAGTTTAATCTGAGCGCAAGCAAGGATTCCAGGAAGTGTTACAACTACTAACTGCCAATCCACCGATGGTGAAGAGGAAGGTACCATTCTAGTCTGCATAAGAGTCATAATCCCTTGACTATCTGCTTCACCTCAAGTGTTAATCTGATTTTATCTTTTGATATTTGCTCAATTGTTTATTGTCAGTGAAATTCATTGTTAGAATTGCCTGGGGAGATCTTGTCAGTGATATTCAATTCCAACTTTCCTCCTGCCTCCAATCCATTGACTCTTCCTGCAGTCACTCGTCATTCTATGCTTGTCGCCTATGACCTCCTTAAGGAATCTAAGACTTATCTTCTGTTAAGGAGCAGTTGGTCTAACACTATTATATTAGGTAAGCATGTTTCCTCCATTGTATCCTGCTATATGCTTACCAATCACACTTGAAGAGAAGAAAACCTGCTCTCAGTCTGCTAATTAGCCAGCATTGTTGTTATTATACATATGCTCCATTCTGACCTCATGTTCTAAGCTATGTTTCAGTACAACATATTGATTATCGCGTACTTCATTGCTACAAGTTGAAATGGCAGTACAAATGTTTGAATTGGATCTACCAAATGGGACAAGGGAATTTCCAAAGAAGCAACCGAACTAGGTTGATGAACCTATTAGTGAAAGAACCCGAGGAAACTTGTACCTTAAATTTTTGCAGCTTTGACGGCGAAATCTGGAACATTTACACATAACCTCAGTTCATGCGTTTAAACATTGTGGAAGATTGTCAAACATTTTACACTTAAAAGTCAGGTGTTCAGTAGCCGGTACTACCCTTGGTTTAGGCGTCTAAATGGAATTTTTTATTGACAAGTATATGATATGGGGTTGCATATGTATTCAGCCCTCTTTATTTATACCATGCTACTTCAGCCTCACTGGTGGGAAAGGGCATCCATTTTTCCTATCTCTATTCAATTGACATTATAGTCATTTCATTTTATTTTTTTGAGATTGTTGATGTTCAGTAAGATTTTGTTGATTTTGAAAAACAACTTCCAATTATGGCAACGGTTAACATTATTCTATGATCAATACAGACATTTGGGAAACAATGTCTATTAAACTGAGTTTATTTCCTTGCACTTATAATTCCAATCTGGAGTATGTCACAGTCTAACTAGCTAGAAGTGGGTCTATAATGAAAGAACGAACCTCACCAAGCCAAAAATGTTTTTTTTTTTAAAAATAAAATAAAATCTAGTGAATACGAGAAATAAGTAGGAAACGATTGCAATATTAATTATATATTTACCACTTTCATCTATATATTATTACCTTAACAAAATCCCTAAAAGTAATATAGAGTAAAGAATCATAATAACCGATAACAAATGATTAAAAAGATGTTACATAATTATATCATTAATAATTATTTGAATTACATATTATATACTAATATTATCTAAATTAAAAAAATTTAGAATTTTTTAAAAAAAATTTGGGTTTAAAGCAAAAAAGAGCTGATTATTGGTTATGTAGATCCTGAAAAACCTGTTAAGACATATTAGACATGGTAAGCACGGCACAAAGATCCTGAAAAATCTCTTTAACATATAGACAAACATTACAGTTGAAGAAAGAGAAGAAAATATCCAAACACAAAGAGAGTAAAAATGAATAAACATGGAAGAAGCAGATGGAGTGGGAAGCAGGTGATGTTTGGGGTGTTAATTATGGGGTTGTGCATTACTGCTTATCATGTAGTTGGTCCACCCCTCTATTGGCATTTCTCTCAATCTATTTCATCCACCCATTATTCTTGCCCTTCTTGTCCTTGTGATTGCTCTAATGATAAACAAATTCACTCTTTTCCACAAGGTATTGTATATACAATACCCTTTCAATCATTTTCCTCTCTTAATTGTTTACTAGTTCACATGCATGTGTATAATATGTAGTATGTATGTTTAATGATATTGTGTGTGCGTGCCTGCATTTTGAACTCACTGACTTTATATTTTGGATTTTGAGATTTAGCTAAAATGGGATGTTTATAGTAAACCACATGTATTTCGAATTCACTGACTCTAAATTTTGAATCCACCTCTATGTCACGCAAATGAAACAATTCATAGCTACACTTTTGATATTAGATGTTTTTTTCAATAGAATGTTTGACATGGTTCACCTTTTTTTTCTTACCAGGTTTGAACGCGAGTACTTTTACAGGTTAGTTTTCTCACCCTTTTGCTGGTTAAATAGAATAAGCATAAAATATTAAGTAGAGTCATTACTCATTACAAAGCACACTGCTCCTAATAACATAGGAGTTTCCAAACAAAATATTACAAGTATTAATATTTGCTAGTTATTATTATCACCACATTTCTTGAGTGATAAAGAGTCTTTTTTCCCCTCCATTCTTGCATAGATTGCATGGAACATGATCTGGGGGTGAGTGAGGAGGAGGAGAGAAACTTCACAGCTCTTTTGACAGAGGAATTAAAGCAAATGGAAGGTGAAACAGTGGAAAACCAGAGAAGAGCAGACATGCAACTGCTTGAGGCAAAAAAGATGGTGTCCCAATATCAAAAGGAGGCAGACAAATGTACATCAGGTATGGGAACTTGTGAAGAAGCTAGAGAGAAGGCTGAAATTGCTTTAGAAGCACAGAGACAAATCACTTCTATGTGGGAGCTCAGAGCGCGCCATCAAGGATGGAAACAGGAACTTGTTTGAGTCTAGCAAGTGTTCTAGACAAGTTCTTAGTGAAACAAGTAAACTGGATAGATAATATTTGTATTCAGCTAGTATGGACATTTCTCTAATTTTGCTAACAATACAAGTCATTTTCTCAAGGCCAGAAACAATCTGATATCATTATAGATAACCAAGAAATTGAAACATCTCGTTCCTTTTATAGTCTATTAGTTAGGAATATATGTCTCTCTTCAAAATATACGTTGCTCTGCAGTCTGCAGCACAAAGGGGTTTCAACGTGACGTAATTACATCAAAATAAGACCTTTCTCTTAAACAAGAGCTTTAGCAAACAGTCATTTAGTTATATACCTGTACTGGCAAAAAGTAGAAAGCCTTTAGTTATCATGACTAAATTTTAAATCAGGCCCGAGTGATGAGATTGTCCCTTCTCGCTTGAAGCACTAAAATCTAACCAATGAGAACAATTTTCTCGGTTGAAAATTGACGAAGAAAGGGCAAACCTTTTTTATAGCATCTTTGGGGAAAGAACACAAGAAGGTGGAAGCTGGAAATAAAGGTATTTCCCGTCTCAAATCATACAACACAAATCAACAAATCCTTGTTTTTCCAAATTCGAAATATAATGCACTATGTACCGAAAAAAAGGGAAATAAAAAGAATTCCTAGCATTGTAAGACAGATAACCATACAGTGATATGTGATTTTTTAAAATATCTACACTACTGTGTTACATGAACCATACTTAGATCAGCTTCCTTATGTATATTTCCTAAATCAGTAAGCTAGAGGTGTAGTGACACACTCACGTTGTAATTCTATCAACGACAACTTATCCCCTCATGAAGTATATGACAAATAAAAACTAATAAAAAGAGACTGGTTAATATCATGGTGTCAAATTCATTATAGAGGAGGCGTCGAATGGAGAAACTATTCCTTCACTCAAGAGGCGCATTGCAGCCCCTCGTGAGAATTTCCTTGCAATCAGAAAACAGGGGGCTAGCGTAGAATTATTCCGACACCACTCTGTCCTGTACTCGCTTTCATAGTAAACATTGCGGATATCCTGTAAAAATTGTAAGGGTGGCAAGTTACAAAGCACAATCAGTTCAGTAGGCAATATATCTTAACGCAATACCAAACAGAAGAATTGAAGACACAAAAACAACTACAGAAGTTGAATAAATAACCAACAAAAGATTTTAAGAAAGAAAACAACTACGGAAGTCAGGGAAAGAAAACCAAAAAAGGGAAGGAAGGAAAACCAACGGGGAAGTCAACAGGGAAAACCAAAAAGCGAAGTCAAAGAAAGAGAAGTTGAAACTATGCCAACATGAAACTGTATCCAGATATGATCATAGCGTCAAATGCCCAAAGCTAGAGATGACAAATTATTAGACATTTCCAAATACACACCTTTATTCTCTTGATCTGTACAGGCCCAGCATTTGCATAGCTAAATGTTATGGGATGCCAACCCTTTTTCTCCATATTTGTCACAGATTCATTCCACTCTGTATAGGTTATCGTTCTACGTTCAAGTTCTCCTTCAAACCCATGTATCTGTAAACCAATTAAAATCTAGAACCTTAGTCCCGAAGAATAATTCTCAAAAGCAGTCCACACAGAAAAATCCTTGATATATCAATAAACATGAGTACTTTGTGTATCTTATCTAAAAGAATGGATTTCCGAAAGAAAGATGTATTACGGAGTACTGAGAACACACAATAAGACTAAAGATGGAAATAACCTAGGTAAATAAGTCTGGTAAGTTCAGAGTCCTGAGAACACACAAGAAGCCTAAAGATGGAAAGTAGCCGGGGAAGAATATGCCTGATACTTACCGCCAACAATGTCTGCACATAGTGTTCATCTGGAATGCAGTTGTGCTGCTTTTGAAGTTTCTGCAAGGTTTATTTCAAGGTTAGAAGAAACAAGTATCAACTGAAAAGTGAATGCTTCCGGAAACAAAAAAGGTGCACTAGTATGAGTTAACAAAAATATAACGAGTAGAGGAGAAGTTATGTCTGTAAAGGTGGGGGGGGGGGGCTTGGAATGACAAAAGTAACACAGATGCAAGAAAGGATGGGGCCAAGGGAGAGGAGCCAACTGAGAAAGTCGGCACAGCGTCATGGCCGACGCACAAGAGGATGGTGCTGCAAAGGAGCACATACAAAGTAAGGCAACCACGGAAGTGGTAGAAAAGGGCACTTGAACTATGTACAGTGGGATCCTCCTGTTCTCAAATATAAATAATGTCAAATGCATCTTCTTAGCAGAAGGCACTCTGACTTACTATATTCTTTTTTCCCTTACTGGCTTCCAGCGGTGGACGTCTCTGCAAGATTAAAATCATGACTCTATCAGTTATCACATAAATGAAGCATATGAGATATGATGCATCAGTGTAAAACCACACTTAACAGTTCCAATTAGAGAATGTAATGGACAGTAACCCAACTAAGGAAGACATTAAACTACAAAAGCATGTCCATCATCGTGCATACATTAGTAAATGAGGGATTTTAGGCTGTTGAGGAGCACCAGTAATTTTATAAACCTGAAGCACCAATGCTTTATTAAGCATGCCGTTTCACCTTATAGCATTATCCATGTAAACACACATGTGAAGTTTAAAGAGGGAAGAGCATATGATATTGAACCTTGCAGAACATCTTGAAGACTGGAAACACAGCATCATCATCTGCCACCACTTCTGCATGCTTCCTTATTAAAGTGATCCACTGGACTAAAACGTCAAGTCAAAACTCATAGAAGCAGATATGGATCACTGTCATACGCATACGATCATGCAGTATATTTTATTGATTTGAGATATTACGATTTTTTTTAAAAACATCCGAGCTTCGAAAAACAAGTTTACCTAGCTTATAGATTCAAAAACTATTAACTTTAAGAGGTGAAAAAAACTGCTGGATGAAACTAAAATTGACTTTCTCTGGATCAGGAACTAAAGATGATTTTTAAAGAGTACAATAACTTGAGCACACACTAATTTCGTCAATTAAAAAAATAGTTCTTCTCATTGAAGTTCAGTAACTGTCCTTTAAAATTAGTAGGTCATGATGACATTTTAGGGGGTAAAAATCAATCAATATTTCCCACATTGATAGACCGCCACGCTAAAATCTTATGTTTAGAACACAATATTGATCTGAGAAGAAACTTTCATGGTGTTTGGGTCAACTTACACATACCTCAACTAATTCCACGGGGTACCTGCTAACCCCAATCCACCAATGATTGGACAAATGAGAAGAAATCGCTAAATGTTTTTGTCTCCGCTAGGATTCGAACCCAATACCTCATGGTTCTCAATTCACTTCATTCACCATAAGGCCACACCCCATGCTTAAGATGGCGAGGACCCCCAGATTTCATGGATTATATTTTCACGTATTAAACTAATTCTTTTATTCACAGATACAAGTTCAACAAAGATCATTAAGATGGTGGGTAAATCCCTTCTGAATAATATCTTTCAATTTTTGTTAGGTAGTTATGTAGGTTGACACATTTCAAGTACATAGGTGCTTTTTAAATCAAGTATAGGTGCTTTTAGTTGTTATCAGCATAAGTTTTTTGCAGACCTCTTTGGTTCCTGAGTTTATTTTCACTTTTGTACATCATTTTCCCATTTGAAGGAGCTGGTAAGTGCTCCTTTCCTTTGATCTTTGAACATGATTTTGGATTAATCTGAAAAAACAAGCATGTCAAAGCTTCTAGAGTTGTCACACCCTGCTTGTCAACACCCCTCTACCCTATCATATGCCTTGAATTTTGCTTAGCAAGAAATTAATGAAAATTCAACTCCACTAGAGCAGAAAAATACACACGTTAATGGATTTTTTTTAATCAGGACAGAGTAATGAATTTCATAGTAGAGGTTGGTGGGACATAGATGTGCTTATAATTCAGACTGAGGGTCAATTACCTGTGACCCTTTTCGCCATTTGCTCATTGGTATATAGGGTGACATCCTTGGGTTGTAGCGGACATCCTTTTTATCAAGAAAACTGGAAGACAAATAGAACCTCATTCATTTAATGTTGATGCAATTAATATGAGAATTCGAAATAATTCATTAGTAATTCAACCAGATCCTTAAATCCTGAACCCACTTAAGGAGTTGATAGCTTTTTTTTTTATCTATCCTTTCCTACCAGTTCCACAAAATCAACCACCTGTCCAGCAATCACACAAGTTTTATCATCCATGTTACCTGTCCACAAAGCTCCTTGGAGAAGCCATCAAGTAGTTGTATATGAAGCTAAAGTTGTACAGTGGGACACAGCTGCAATATCAACCATTACACATTTAGAGAAAAATTCTTAAAACCAAGGCACAAACCATAACTCAATAATTGGGTGAAACAAACAGAAGGGAAATACATGGATAAAAGAATTGGAACACACTACATTTTGAAGTATGCTCTCTCATGATTCATTAACGAGAAGTCAAGAAGATATGTTGTCTAGACACTTGGTCTCTAGTGCAACTGCATACTGACGATTTAAGTTATTTAGCATGGACTGTATGTGCACGAGAAAGTTTTGAATATTTATTTGTTTTCTTTTTCTATTCCTTTTTTCCCTTTTTTGGATATGAAATGTGTATTCTGTCTTATAAATGTACTATGACCATTTACCAAGCAAGAATATGATTGTGCTGTCCATTCAATAATTCCAGTGTGAATTCACTTCCTACCATATCCATGTCTATTCAATATAGTAATGATAGTAATTAGCATTGGTGCTAAGCATGTCTAAAAAAGTTGTATGACTGTTTCTTCTTCAATAATAAGAACCAAAATTATTACAGCTCTACCCGAGTCTTGATATCTAATGCAAGTATTACCTCAAACGCAATTCAGATTACCCAGTTTGAGCTGTGTGTAAATTTACAAAACAAAAGGTGTGAATAGGTTATTGAGTTTGAGATGGCCAATAAGAGAATTGATCTTAGTTAGATAGGTACTCCAAAGGAATGTGTCTAAATAGTTTGATCATCAAAGAAACTTCAAAATACATGAAGGGGTGTTTTGAAAGATGCTAGACTTCTCCATTTAAGGGAAAGAATCAAGTAAATCAGGGTCATGAGAAAAACGAAAGCATAAAAAGATCAGTTCGTGAAAACCAATAGATGAAGCAATTGCTGAGAATGCCATGCATCAATAAGGCATGTGCATGCACACTAACAAGCCGCCTAGACAGACTTATCTGAGAGATGTCACACATCAAATGTTTTTGAAGTAAAAAGTCTACCTGTCCGACAAGAGAACAAATCTTTGATTTGCTGGATCATCAAGCGCTGTGCCAAGTAATAATTTCTCTGCTTGGATCATACTTGATTCTCCCCAAGCTACCTACAGGTCACTCTTAGATCAATCTGGTAAAGCTATGAAAGTGATAAAAAAAGCAAACAGAGGTAAATGAATAATACTACATTTTTTTACGAGACCAATTTTAAAATGTCAAATTGACTTTAAATCTTGTATTGATGGTAGTGGATACAAATATTAAAGTAGTAGGTAGTCCAATCGAGAGTATCTGATACAGGAAACATCGCATCAAAGTTTAGAACTTTAAAAAAAAGATTTGTGAAAGTTTTACAAAATAATATTACAAATGGAATACTGGAACATTGTCAATCAATTTGGTACCCCCAAAACGGAAAGAGTCATACCAACTAGAGTGGTTGATTTACCATATACCAAACATCGTTCGTAGGTTGGTGCAATAATAATATATAAGCTTAAGGTTTAGAATCTAAATTTCCAACCTATCAACCTATTGGAGGAAATTACATGCAACCTACCAAATCTCTACATAGAAGTTCAATCAGATACATTTCCTGATACTATCCAAGATCAATAAACATAAATAGACCGATCAAAATAACAAAAGTAAAAGAATAAAATGAATTTACTGAATTAAACGCTCATGTCACTGCAAAATGAAATTACTTCAATCACAAAAAAAAGGAACAGAATAAAGATACAACATATTTTTATATTACAATGTGCAACACAGTAGGCAAGTAAAGCCACTTACCTTGATGCTATTTGTCAATTGGCGATTATAAAAGAAAGTCGATCTTGTTGTAGACTCATCAAAAACAAAACCAGGCTCCGAATGTACATATATGGAAAAATTACCAGTGTCAGCATTCTGCAAACACCAAAGAGATAATGATATCAAATATTCAGGTTTTGAAACAAGGAATATCTGCGCAACCTAATAACTTTCACATTTCCATTGTGCTCTAGCAAATTTAAGAAGGATTGAAATTTCACTACTATTACCAAAAAACAAATGAACTGTTGCACATTTTGAAGCTGCAAGAAGAGTTTAATCATCACAAAAGAGAATAAAGGGAGGACAAAGAGCTATCCTGATCCTAACTTTGATGAATTGTGCTAAGTTTAACGAAAAATTGAAAAAGCTAAGTTTAATATAAATTGAAAAATTATCTAACCTCAAAGAAATTTCCCCAAAGGAAATCGAGAGGCAAATTCCTACGCACTAGAAAGAGGAAAGCAACTTTGGGATTGCCAGTATAATCAACAGCTCGAGATCTACTAGAAATTGAAGAAGTAGAAGAAGAAAATTCCGAATCGGAAAGAGAGTAGTTTTGGAGCTTGAGAAAAGCCAACACACAAATAGTAAGAGAAACCAGAACCAACAACTTCCACCACAACCACAGCACGTTTCTCACAGACATTCCGGCGGTCGCCGCCATAGCCATCGCCGCCACCGACTTCTTCTTCATAGGTTTGAATTCTCTTTGCTCCTTTTCTTCCTTTCTCCTGAAATTTAAAATAAAAAAGAGATTTGCACTTGATCTTTCTCTCTGTGTATAAATATAAGTAAATGCACATATATATGTGTGTCTTTACTACATTGAACAGGTGGCGGTTGAAGGGAGCGAATGAGAGAGATAAGCATTTCAGAGACGACACCAAATGCTTTTTTTTTGGTTTCACACTGCTTGCTGGTGCTTTGCCTTTTGTTCTGCTCCTTGATGCACAACTGTCTCAAAGACAAGGAAGGAGAAGACGCTAACGACGTCGTTTGGCGCACCAAGTATACGCCTTTCTTTACATATTTCATATCCTCCCTCAAACAACAATATAGTATAGTATAGTATAGTATAATCTCAGAAAATGATATTTGAGACGAATAAAGAAAAATAGATCTTTATCTCTTACCTTGGAAGTAAAAAGACTATTTTCAATAAATCCTCATACTAACTGAACTCAAAGGATACGAAACTAAAGGAATAATGCTATAACTATTAGTATAAAAAGATAAACGAGACAATACTCAATTACCTACTAACCTTCAACTATAATTGCCTTCCTCCACAACCTTCTATTTACGATTATGTCCTCGATAAGCTGAAACTAACACCATATCATGACTAATATACCTAATTAATTACATCACCTCAATACTTCTTTAACCTACCTCTATCCCTCCAAAAACAATTCATAGTCACCCTCTCACCTTTTTTTTTTCTCACCACGTACTTAGTGTCCTTTTTTATAGTGGGTAACTATGTGTCATAAAATTACAAATTGGATGTTTTATATCATACGAAGGTGCATAGTAATGACATAAAAGATAAAAATGTATTTTATTTAGGATTTGTCAATACTACTATAATTGAAATCTGTCTTAAATCCATGAACATAATTGTATAGAACATGATAGAATGATTTTCCTTATTGTCACGCAACGCACATGCAAAAATACGTGTACTAGTTTTTATAATAGTAAGACTAGGTACCTTCCCCTTGATGGAATTGAGAAATTCCGTAATCTGTCAATAATTGTTTGGGGCACAAATCTTCACGACAATTAAAATGAATATTGGCACCGACTATTGAAGTAAACGAGACGCTAATTGTTTATTTAAATTAAGACACGAGAACATGGAGGCCTCTTTCGTGTAGCTAAAGTTTGTTTGGAACATATTTTACCTAACTTCCTCTTTCTATTCACACAAAATCCAAAAAGTCAAATCATCCACCTATCATTCTTCTGACAAATATATCACACTATTCTATTCATATTATTTGTCGTGACAAAAATTCCTTGTAAAATGAAACAATGTTCATTGATGTTTCTGTGAAGAAACATTTCATAAATAAATACAACAGCATATTTTGTACAATGGTACAACAATGAATATAATTTATGCAGACTTACTCCTCTCTCTCACTTTCTATTTCTTCAACTATACTACACAGCCTATTCCACTTACACTGCCGGAGAGCTTTTTGTCCTCTTAACAATATTGTACAGCAAATGAATTATGGTACAGGTGCCATCGCTGCTTTGCCACCAATGGTGTTATTAATCCGTCAACCTTTATGAAACAACACAATGTATAGGAATTTCAGGCATTGTGTCAGCTACTCTTGAGCCACCTTGGCTTTTTTCGGCATATCTATGACAATGTTCAGAATTTTTCCTTGGACGTAAATTCTCTTCCTAATAGATTTCCCATCCAAAAACTTGGACAGTTTTGTATCAAATGAAGCTAATCTAAAGGCCTCCTCTTCTGTGCATGTTTCTTCGACCTGTATGGTACCTCTAGTCTTTCCATTAATTTGGACTGGAAGGACTACAGTACTCTCTTTTAAATATGCAGCATCAGCCTGTCGTGATAACCAAAAATCAGTAAATGTTTCACCTAATTCAATGTTTTATTGATTTTTTAAGATGTTCATGAGCTTCTAGTAATCCCAGAAATTTAATTTGTCTCACGAGGCAACTATAAACAACAGTATGTTTTCATATTTTTCAAAATTATCTGGGTTTTAGCCTGTTTATATTGAATATTTGCTGAAAATGGACTCCTGCAGTTTTACAACAAAACTGAACAACTAAATATGTAGGTAAGTGATAACGAGAAGCTATGCAGTAGGGTGTTGGTGACCTAGGTCCCTTTTTTAGCAACAGTAAAGAGATTAGGGAAAAACAGGTATTCATAAGCTTTCAGAAGGGCGGGATCGGGAAGAGGGATAGAGAGAGTAACAATTAAGATAAAAAAAAATACTCACCTTAGGGAAGGGCTCATATGACAAGGAATTTGAGTGTCCCAGACGAGACCAGAGCTCCTCTGCCATGTGAGGTGCATATGGTGAGAGCAGCAAAACAAATGCTTCAATAATTGATCTCGGAAGCTTGTCCCACTAAAGACATGAGATCCAACAGATTAGTTAAAATGCTATCAGAAACAGGTAACTTGCAATGAACTTAATAATATAGCTACATCACTCTTTGTTTCCTTATGTCGTTAATTTTAAGCGGAAGAAATTTAAGTGGCTAATTTGATCTCATTTCAATGAAGTCTTCCGTGGAGATAGCCTCTTGCAGAAATGTAAGGTAAGAATGTAAAATAGACCCAATGGGGCCCAGCCCTTCCCCAAGTCCGTGAGTAGCTGGACCCAGTGCAGGGAATGTCCTTTTCCCAGGTGATGTCTACAAGCATTCAGTTGGATACTTTAATATAACAGGGAAGGAGAAGAGCTAGAGAAGTCCTCTTGGGAGTAGTTCACCAATTTTGTATTTCATTTGCCTTGAGGAAGAGACTGAAATCCCTTCCCTCATGCAATTAATTCTGACAAGCACATCAAATTTTTGGACTAAGCTGTTCTTCCAACTTGCCCAAGTTGGATACATTTGAAAATTTGACGATGACTTTTTCTTAATTCCTAAAAAATTGCTCTAAAGGCTGACAAAAGTTTAGACAAAAAAAAATAAAATCAAAGTGTGGGTACTCTTTTTTCCAGTTTTACTATTTTTTTAGCACCGAGGGGAAATCAGAACAAGAAACCTTATATGCTGCATTAATGAACTCCATCATTGCAGAAATTCCCGTGTTGAACCGAGTTCCTTCAATTTCTTCAGTTACCTGTTATAATAAACCACCTCGCAAATCAACAACTGCTGTGTAATAATAGGAAGTCATTAACATCCCAACCAAATTCCACTCCAAAGGATACATGCAAGTCATACCCAATGAAGAGTAGTACTACCTTATCAATGCATCTGTGTAAAGAACGAAGTTGTTCAATTGAAGGTTTCTCATCAACTGTGATAGTTCCATCCGGATATGAACCAGTGGGTGAGGCTGAACCAACAACCAATCTCCAAGATCTTGCTAGGAAACGGTGAACACCATCAATACCACTTGTATTCCACGTTTTTGAGTCTCTATCAGACATAATAAAAAGTTTGCATTACGCACTAGAAGATATGCTGTGCTAATACAACTTTGAAATGATCTACATATATCACAATAAACAAAATTTGAGAAACAAAAGAAAAGATAAGGACAGGCAGAAGCAGCTACCTTAATGGACCCATAAACATTTCATATAAGCGTAGAGAATCTGCACCATACTCCAAAACAACATCATCAGGGTTGATGACATTTCCCCTACTTTTACTCATCTTGTGAGCTCGGGCAATCAAGCGAATGTTGGGGTTGTCTTTCAAAACAAACAAGTCACCAGATTTCATGACCTACTCATCATCAAAATACCGTTTCAAACCGATGGCTTACATTCTGACAACTAAAGTTAAAATAAAAAGATGCTAAAAGATTTTCATAGGAAGCACAGTAATTGAACATGATCAGTGTACAATGAACCTTTTCCTCAGGTATTCTTTCTTGTTTGTACTCAGCCAGCTCATCAACAGAATCTGCTGATATCAAGTTTCCTTCGTCATCTTTGCATGCTGTATATTGAACCTGACAACTTGATCGTTAAAGAATGACAACAAAATAATGGACTTTCAAGACCCCAAGCAAATCAACTTACTTCACCAAGGATTATGCCCTGATTTATGACACACTTAAATGGTTCCTTTGTTGACACAGCATCTATGTCATAGAGAACCTGCAACAATGAACCTAGTCATGATTTTTAACAGAAATGTTAGAGAAGAAATATAACTTGCTCTCGTAAATTTAACTGCTCTTCCAAAGGACAAATAAAAAAAGAGAGGGCATTCCTCTTGCTTGTTAAGCCCTTTTTTTGGTTTAGTTGTCCTCCTACCTCATCTATTCTTCCACTTATAAGCTCTGATTAGAAGAAGATTTATGTCACTTGGCTTTCTAACAATGTACTGAAGTCAAATTTACGTTAGCGAAGGGATTCACCAGCCATAAAATGGGGTGGATAAGGGAAGAAGAAGAAATCTTTGGTTCATTTGTATCAACTGCAATATTGACAACATCTGCAGTAGCTAAAGTAGCGCAGCCAAAGCATGAAACTGAGAGTATTCTTTTTATTTGTAATAAGTGCATTGGGACTTGGGAGTGCTAACCTTGTGCCAGAACCTGGCATAAAGTAAATGAAGAACAGCATGCTCAGCACCACCAACATACACGTCAACAGGGCCCCAGTACCTATAAGAAAAAAGAAGCAAATGGATGGCTAATACTTTGAAACACCAAGACTTTCCAAACTAGTATGTATAACAAAATGAAAGCCAGAAAAATATGGAAGTGCTGATTATACAAAGAGAAAGCAAACTCACTGTTCTTGTGCCTTGTCAACCAATGCACTGGAGTTCTTTGGGTCCATAAATCTTAGATAGTACCTGTATATCAGTGGAGGATGAGTCACATGGTTCAATCAAAAGCAGCAAGATACAGATCAGACATATGACACATCCATAGGAACCTTAAAAGCAAAGATGGTTTCTTCTTTACATTACAGGACGAAGAGTGAAAGTTGCATTGGTTTTTTGAACCACATGTTATCAGTTTTAAGTACATAACATTGAAGTATTCACAGATTCTTTGCTTTCCTCACATTTATTTTCAATCCCATAGTAAGCAGCCAAATTTTCAGAGTCAACATCAGACGCTCTACTTATCTAAATACAGAGGTAAGTGTTGGCCTTTTACTTCCATTACTACCAGTGACAAAATATGCGCCCAGTGCCACCCACTATGGATAACGAACAAGAAAATTCAGAGTAAAGTACTTATCTTCTTCCTTTTCTTTTTTTTAATT